GCAGTATTTAATCCATTTCGAGTTTATTCTTGTATATGGTGTAAGAAAGTGGTCCAGTTCCAATCTTTTTTTTCACATGTATCTGTCCATTATTCCCACCACCATCTACTGAAGAGATTGTCTTTACCTCATTGTATATTCTTGCCTCTTTTGTCATAGGTTAATTGACCATATAGGCATGGGTTTATTTCTGGGCTCTCCATTCTGTTCCATTGATTTGTGTCTATTTATATGCCAGTACCATGCTGTTTTGATTACTATAGCCTTATAGTATAGTTTGAAATCAGGGAGCGTGATACCTCCAACTTTGTTCTTCTTTCTCAAAATTGCTTTGGCTGTTTGGGATCTTTTGTGGTTCCACATAAATTTTCAGAATATTTGTTCTAGTTCTGTGAAAAATGGCATTGGTATTTTCATAAGGATTGCATTGAAACTGTAGATTGCTTTGGGTGATATGGACATTTTAATGGTGCTAATTCTTATCTTTGAGGAGTATATGTTTCCACTTATTTGTGTCTTCTGTAATTAGTTTCTTCATTGTCTTACAGTTTTCTGAATACAGGTCTTTTACCTCTTTGTTCATGCAATTGTGTATAGGATTGTTTTCTTAATTTCTCTTTCCAATAGCTCATTATTGGTGTACAAAAATTTAACCAATTTTTGAATATTAATTTTGTATCCTGCTACTTTACTGAATTAATTAGTTCTGATAGTTTTTTGTGGAATCTTTAGGGTTCTTTCTATATAGTATCATGTCTTCTGCAAATAATGACAATTTTACCTCTTCCTTTCCAATTTAGATGCCTTTTATTTCCTCCCCAAGGTCTTTTGTTTTGTTTTTGTTTTTTTAGCTGGGCCATCCTGCCACCTGTTGGCAGTTCAGTGGCAGCTCAGCTCAGGCCGGGAATTGAACTGGTGACCCTGTTGCTCAGGGCTCGCACTCTTGAGCGAACTCTTAACCAACTGAGCCACTTGGCCGGCCCCTCGATGGATTTTATTTCTTTTTTTTGTCTGATTGCTGTGGCTAGGACTTCCAGTACTATATTCAATAACAGCTGTGAGAATGGGCATCCTTATCTTGTTTTCTGTCTTTTCTTGATACTGCCCCAGGTGAGCTGTTTCATCCAGTTGTTTAAATGACCACCTGTGCTGAGATCCAGGTCCTCACTAGGGGAGCAGGGAGGCCTGAATCCACCAAGATTTTGGTAACATTGTGAGAGTGTGAAGATCCTATTCTTGGGGTCACTTTCTCCAGGTTCTCAGAGGGATGTACAGTGCTCCTTGCTCTGAGTGACTGTGTTCCTCATAAGCCTCTGCTTCCTGGAGGTGTCCTGCAGGGAGGTTCTAGGGGCTCCTGAGGTCTTGAAAATGAGTTGCCCTCAGAGAGCTGGGAACTCCATTGACCGCCCCTGCCTTGCCCACCTCCCAAAGGCAGTGCCTTCTCTGTACAAGGTTGGACTGCAAGAGGAGGTCATGGGGGCCTCAGGGTGGGGGTGCAGCACAGGCACCATGTGCCACTCACAGATGTTCCTAGATGCCCACAGACAGGGCATATGGTCCCTTCCAGGACCTGGCTGCTGGGGCAGAGGATGCATTTCTGAGCAGGCTAAGGTGCTCCCGGTGGGCTGTCACCATTTTCACTCAAGGCCTAAAACAGGAGGGTCTTTTGATTCTGAGTCTGACCCCAACACTCATGCACCCTGGACCTAGAGAAGGTGAGTGACTTGTGCAGGTGACACACTGAGGCATGGCACTAGGACCCAACCATAGCTAGGCCAGGGAAGGGCTCCTGAAAAGCCTGGAGAATTCTCCAAGAATACTGGCTGTAGGGCCTGCTCCTGTACCCTGATCCTGCACTAGTGGGAGAGTGTCACCTCTGCTGCCTGACAGTCCAGGGCACCAACCTGGGCTAGTAACAGGGCCCAAGAGACAAGCCAGCCTGGGGCCTTCCAGGAGCTCTGAGCATTCACTAGTGAGTAAGTAGGGTATAATTATTTATTTAATGCCTGGGTCACCTCAGGCTGAGGGTGTCATGAGGCCAGGTTGAGCCTGTCTTATCCCTAAAGAGTGCCCAGCACCTGAACACAGCACCAAGCACTCAATAGGTGCTTCACAAATACATGTGGAACAGCCAGTTGCAGGAGGAGAGGCTGGACCTGCTTGTCGCCCTGCCTCCCACACTGCCTCTGCATCCCAGCAGGTGTCTCACCTTTTTATCATGCCACAGGACGGATGTATGCCAGGGCTGCTGGGTGATAGGGTGACCTCCCGATCGTAGTAGTTCTGGTAGGGCACCGGAGCTGTGGGCAGCAGCCTGTGAGGCCCAGGGTGGCCGAGAGCAGGGTAGGCAGGACCTGTGCCACTGCATACCCCAACCTGTCCCCATCCGGAAATCCAGACTAGGGCGCCTCTTTCCCATTCTAGCCTTGGCCCACGCTGTTCTAAGGACACACACCCCAAGCACACTCA